GAGGAATAGCTCAGCGGCATAAAACTCGCGATCAAACTCAGGACCTGACTGGCAAGCGCAAGGTACCGAGTTCAATTCCCGTTATTTAAAAAAGAAAAGAAAAGAAAATCAGACCCACCCAAAACAACTGAGGTAGACTTTTAAAGGCAAAATAAATAAATAAATAAATAAATAAACGTCCTTCAGGAATTCAAAATACAAACAGGCTTAAAATACTTTGATTTTTAAAGTCAAGTTTATTGTAACATCTTACAGGACAAAATCTCGCTTAAAGGTTACTATTATTTATGACTTCCAAGACATCAAGAAGTACTGTTGGAAAGATACTTTTTATTTATTTATTTATTTAGGCGGAGCCAGGGATTGAACTCAGGCCCTTACTCTTGCCAGGGAAGCGCTTACTCTACCGAGCATCTCCCCAGCCCCGGAAAGATACTTTTTAAATCCCACAAATCTGTTAAAAGGAATTTGAGGGGCAGAGGACAGGGGGAAAGGTAGACATGTCACTGAAGTAAAACTCCAACACTATCTCTTACAAGTTAAACTCCTTCTTAGAACCTGAGTCACAAAGATAAACAAATAGTTTTCATCTTGGAATAGGAATCTAAGGGCCAGAGAGCTAGCTCAATGGCATAAACATCTGGCAGATAAGTGCAAGGTCCTGGGTTTGATCCCTGGTACTGGGAAAAGAAAAAAAAAAAAAAAATCAAAATAGCAGAAGCATGAAGAATAGGAACATAACAAAATTTCAGTCATCTCAAAATTGTGTGGTTTAGGTGGGCGTGATGTAACATATCTGTGATCTCTACACTAAATTGGAAAAATTGAGGCAGGAGCAATGCCTTAAGGTCACGGTCATGTAAATTTTACTTGGTTTGTACTCAATTCAATTTCTTTTTTTTGTTCCTCGAATGCCTTCAGGGCACTTTTGGCCAGCGGGAGAGTTGTGAGGTTCAAACTCCAGCAACCTGAGGCTGACAGCTTTGTGGAAGCAGCCACTTAAAGGACTGAGCTAGGGCCAGGCCCCCAAAGGACAGCACTTTTTTTTTTTTTTTTTCTTTCAGAACCAGGGATTGAACTCAGGAGCGCTTATTCCACTGAGCCATCTCCCCGGCCCTCAATTCAATTTCAAAATTGCTAAATTGTGTTTGAGCTTTAGACTATAACATTTGTTGTAATAATTGCTAGGTTGAAGTCCACCATATAAAAAAAAGGGGGTATGGATTTACATTGCAAAAGATGTCCACAGTGTAATAGTGACATTTGCTCATTGACAGCTGACATAAATTTAGAGTAAAATATTTTAAGCCAAAAAAAAAAAATTTTTTTTTAAAAAAAGGGGTTTAAGTATTATTGGGATTATTTCCTTAAATGCCCCCCAAGGAGGCTTTCCCCCCCCTTTTTTTTTTTTTTTTTTTCCAGGGATTGAACTCAGATCCTTGTGTTTGCCAGTCAAGCGCTTATCCTACTGAGCCATCTCCCTGGCCCCTCCTTTTCTTTTTTTGTTTACTTCTTATTCAAGTCTTCACACCCACTTAATTTCTGCTTCCAACCTTGTATGGTTTGCAAACTAGTCCAGAATTAGACCACTGTTGGGAGTACCACAGAAACATAAGTGGATATTCCAAAGCCACAATCTTTCCTGTTGCCTGTGGAATCGCTGCTGAAAGGAATCAGGATTTGAGCTCCAGGTTGAGACACAAAAATGAAAGCCTGTTTTTCGGGACACCAGGCTTTACACGGATGTGACACATTCAGAACACTGGAATTGGATTATACTCTGTTCTGGGTTTCTTCTTTCTTCTGTTTTGTTTTTGTTTTTTAAACTAAAGCTATATGAAGCTTATGGAATAAACAATAAATTTCTAAATTAAAAAAAAAAGGTCAAGGTCAACCTGGATTCAGGACCAGACTGAATTACATGCTGTGACTGTCTCAAAAACAACAAAACACAACATGGATTTTTTTTTTTTTTATCATGCCAGCTATACCTAATTTCCCACACTAATGAAAACAAGATGATCTAGGGGCTGGGGAGATAGTTGGGGCTGCGGAAATAGCTTAGTAGAATAAGCGCTTGCCTGGCAAGCACAAGGGCCTGAGTTCAATCCCTGGTTCTGAAAAAAACAAAAAAACAAAAAAACAAAAAAACAAAAACACAAAAAACACAACAATCTAAAAACTCTATGAATAAAATTCATTAATACTTTTATCATATTTACCTTACCAATTATGATTTGTTTATGTCATTAAAGTTAAAGCAACAAAATGTGCTAGAAGAGGAAGTATTACAGATGTTATAAAAAGTTAAGGTTAGGGCTGGTGAGATGGCTCAGTGGTCTAAAGCACCTACTTGGAACAAGCTTAACAAAGCACAGGGACCACGGTTCAGTCCCCCAGCACCACATGCCAGCCAGACTTTAAAAAAAAGTTAAGGTTAATATTAAACACTGTTGGGGCTGGGGAGATGGCTCAGTAGAATAAACACTTCCCTGGCAAGCACAAGGGCCTGAGTTTAGTCCCCGGTTCCACCAAAAAATAAATAAACAAACACTGTCAGCGTAAGATAGCTTTATTTGCACTTTGAAATACACATATATTTTCTCAATTTAGTTAAAAAACCATTATAGGGGTCGGAGAGATGGCTCAGTGGAATAAGCGCTTCCCTGGCAAACGCAAGGGCCTGAGTTCAATCCCTGGTTCCGCAAAAAAAAAAAACAAAAAACAAACAAACATTATAACCCAGTGTTAAGATAAAAAACAACACTGGTAAATTGGTAAATGTGTATCATGTGGACACAATAAACTTTAGTAAATGGGGAAAGATTTATATGATCTGAAGAGAAAGCAGAGTTTTTGTGGTTTTTTTTTTTTTTTTTTTTTTCGATACTAGGAACCAAATTCAGGACCTTGCACTTGGTGCTTGTGCCCTTAAGCTATAACCTTGACCCCACAATAAACTTAAAAGTTTACTTTTGCCCAACTTTCTCTTTTATAGTAGTGGGGTTGAACATAGCGGTGCTCTATTTCTGAGCAACTTTTTAATTTTTTAGATTTTTCAGACAAGAGTTTTGCTTAGGTGCCCAGGCTGGCCTTAAACTTGATATTGCCTCAGACTTCCAACTAGTGGGATTTTAGGTATAGACCACCACACCCTGTCTTACCTAATTCCTTCCTGAAACCGTGTTGTAACATTGTTTTTGCTTCAAATAAGTAGTACATCCATTGGGCTAGTAAGTACTGTAGCTCAGGATTTTCACCATAATTTATCTGAATCATCTTAGAATAAACATTTTTTATAGTTTTCTTTCCAGAATTTATTTTTTCCCTAAATCTTCAACATTTATGACAATTTCCAAGTAAAAGAAAACCTAACGCTAATCTATTGTTCAACGATTTTTAAGGGTAGAGCATCTTCGGCATTTCAAATGGCATGCCATAAGTGGTCGTTGTTATGTCAAATTGTTTTGGAAAATGCGTTCCTGGATCATTAACAGTCTCTTTCATCCCAATCTTTGTTCCTTGAGGCAGGGTCTCAATATGTAGTTCACACAGGCCTTGAACTTGCAGCTATCCTCCTGCTTCAGCCTCCCCAGTGCTGTGATTACAGGCATGGGCCACCATGTCCCTCACTATTTCTATTATAGTAAAAAGAACCCAGATAGATTTGCAGAAAACTCAAGGATGCACATTTTGTGATAGTCACCATAGGAAATGAAAGACATTAACGCTGTCCTCTAGGGAGCAGCAGGTGAAAATATTTTAATTTGTACAGGCTGTAAAATGATGTATTTACTGAAAACTTCACAAACTTTTAAAAGATGTACAGCTGTCAGGAAAATAGTTATCCCATCTAACTTAGAACATGCTCTCGAATTTAAGGCATTTTAAAAGAAATAAGTATGTACACAAACTGCACACTGACAGATGGAACTGTAATCAAGAACAACTGTAGGGCATCAAAGAGCACAAGCTGCTTTTTTAGCGTTCAGACCTGTTATGTGTTAACATGATAATTATGGTTATACGAAACCTGGAGTTAGAAAAAAAACTCCCCTGGCTACTGTGAATTTAAGAAGCTGAAAACTGCTTTTTAAAAAATTATCATTAAGACAAGTAAAGATGCCAGGGACAGAGTTAACTGGAGGCTTATGTACCTACAAGCAAGGAAGCTGCTGCAGGAAGTGGCGTTCAGATTGGGCAAAAGCCCTGAAGCGTACTCCTTCATTAAGGCGAATAGGTTTTCCGACAGAAAGTGAGAAAAGTGGATGTGTAAGATGAACTATAAACTCGGGGAACTCTCCCTGTCGCGCAGTGACAGCAAAATCACTTCCTGAGGAAGGAGGAGCAAGAGGGAAGTTAAGAGGCCACCTAGACCAGGAAGTGACTCGGCCTAAACTCGCCCCAAACACACCTAAAAATGAGTGGGGGGAGGGCGAGGGCCCGCCAAAGCCCACGGGCGGTAAAATAACTGCTGCTTAGTAAGTCGCGACATCATCGTCGCCCCGTTCTATAATTTACAGAGGCGCCTACAGTCAAGATTCAATAAGGGAAAAATCTTTTCGCTCGGAGATCCAAAACGAAAAGAACAGACTTGAATGGAGAACTGGGGCCACCGTGAGGCAGAGGAAAGACCCTTAAAAGGGAAGTGTCCCGACTGCAGAGAACATTTGCCAGCCCGAGCCAAGAACCTCCTTTTTCCTTGGGACACTGTCAGGCTTCCCGCCGCCGCTGGGCCAGGCCCTGGCTCCCCGTTGCGGGAGGAGGCGAGAGAGAGGAAGGTGGACCCCCTTACCTTCTCCTCATCCGACACTCGATCCTCAAAGTCCGCCATCTTGGGCTGCTCTGGCCCAGCCCGGCGGCGGGCGCGAGGCAGGCCGGGAAGGAAGCTGGGCGACGGAATCGCCGTCGGAGGCGCGCGCCCGGAAACGCCGACGGCGTGGGCGCCCTGTGTGGGCGGCCTCGCAGCCCAGGAAGTTGGCCTTCCCTATGGGGAGCTGCAGTTATTTAGCTGTCCATCTGCTGTACGTTCGCCCCGTGTTTGGACTGGTCGTGGAGCTGAGCTCTAGCCAGTAGAAAGCTATCGCTACTCGTGTTTTCTCGGTTCGGGTAACTATGGCAGCACAGTCCAAAGTGCTAAACGCTGCTCAGCCCCGGGAACAACCGCTGGCTTTTCCAGCCTCGGGATTGGGGTGAAAGGGGACCTCAACTCGTACCGAAGCAGAACCACTTCCCTGCAGCGTCACGCCGGAGTCCAGCTCCTCTAGCAGGGGCGCCGCTCCAGTCCCTCCTCCTCCCCGCCCCGAGGGAGTAGGTGGCCGCCTCGGGACTCGCCCGGCCACTTTCTAGACTTCCGCGGCGGGGTGCCCCGGCTTCAGCCCCGGCCGGCCGGCTTCGAGCCCGTCACTATCCCAGGATTCCCGACGCCCGGTTTCCTGCCCCTCTCCCCTCCCAGCTGCCGCAGCCCGCGGGAGTGGCAAGATGGCGGACAGGGACTACTTGGCTGAAGCCGCGGCGGCCACGGCTTTCTCTCCCGCGGCTGTTCGCGGCCTAGGCCCGCCGCTGGGCTGGAAGGAGCGCCTGCGGGCCGGGCTGGCGGGGGCTGGGGCCTCGCTGTGGTTCGTGGCGGGGCTGGGGCTGCTTTACGCTCTGAGGGTGCCGCTCAGGCTGTGCGAGCACCTGGCCGCGGGTGAGAGGCCCGGACTCCCGGGACGGGCGGGGGGCCCGCGCGCGAGCTGGCGGGGGCTGAGCGCCGCGGGGCGGGGGTCTCGGGGACCGCGGGGGCCTTGCAGGAGTCGGGGCTGCGCGAGGCGGCCGCCCTTTCCTCTGGGGCCACTGCCCCGCCGCTGATTGTCAAACCTGAACTGCGGCGGAGGGCTCCTCCCTAGACCTCTTAGATCCGCCTTCTCGGCGCTGTCCTGGTTTACCCCGGGAAAAGCCACCTGATAAACTGTAAGCTTCCGGTGGTGGGACAGGCCGAGAAGAGCATTCTCAGTCTTAGGTACAGAATTTGGAGGCACTTTGGCCATTTGTAGCGGCGCTTGGAGCTCATGCCTGCCTAGCTAAGAAACTGTCACCTGAGAGGACAAAGATATGTACGTCTGTAATGGAAGTCTCAGAAAATGCCGTCATCTTAGCGTACCATTCCCTTGTTTTAGAATAGTTCTGTTAAGAAATACGTACTTTTGTGGTATTGTGATTTGGTGTTCTTCTTCTTCTTTTTTTTTTTTTTTTTTTTGCTGAAGTTCAGGGTTTTCTTTTTTCATAATTTTATTGAGAAACAAATAGCAGTGAGACAGTTTCAAATCAAATTGGTAGGACAGTTTCAGTAATTAACACATTGCATACATTCTTCCTAGTGAAGAGATGAGCTTTTTCGCTAGTTAGCTGGTGAAGTTTCTTTTTTAAATTTATTTTATTTTATTTTATTTTTTTTAGGGATTGAACTCAGGACCTTGCACTTGCCAGGCAAGCACATGTGCCGTTGAGCTATCTCCTGGCCCCTTGGTGTTCTTTTAAGGCTTCATTTTGAGTACTAAATTGGGTCATTGTAGGCTAGGCAGGGAGGAGAGAAACACCTATGGTTTTATATATGTTACGTGTGGGAACTTATTTTTTTATTTTTTATTTTTTAATTATTTATTTTTATTTATTACATTTATTTATTGTGTGTGTGTGTGTGGCCAGCTCAGCCCACAAGGGGGCGGGGCTGGCTGGCATGTGGTGCTGGGGGATCGAACCGCGGTCCCTGTGCTTTGCCAAGCTTGTTTCAAGTAGGTGCTTTAGACCACTGAGCCATCTCTCCAGCCCCTATTTTTTTTTGAAATTTATTTATTTATTTATTTTTTAAATTTTATTTATTTATTTGTGTGTGTGTGGCCAGCTCAGCCCACCAGGGGGCGGGCTGGCTGGCATGTGGTGCTGGGGGATTGAACCGTGGTCCCTGGGCTTTGCTAAGCTTGTTCTAAGTCGGTGCTTTAGACCACTGAGCCATCTCACCAGCCCCAACTTATTTTTTTGTGGGTTCTACAAATACTATTCTTTAGCGGTAGACACGACGAAGTGGATGGGATCCAAGGCCTCTTACGGAGTTAGGATTTCTTTCACTCATCCTCTGAACAGCAGCTTTAGAACAGGATGGCCATGTTTTTGTGGAATGATGATTTTGATCAGTGCAGTGGTTAATTTTTCTGTACTGAGAAGGCAAGCACCACCTTTTCTATTCAATGAGATGACATGAAAGGCAGACAGTATTCCGGAATATTTTAGAAGGCAGATGCAATTTAAACTGAGATTTAGCTAGCATACTAAAGCAAGCTAAAGAACTAATTTGGTGTCTGCAACAAGTCAAATGCCTAAAGATAGTTTGTATGCTTGGTGAAATGATACTGAGTTTTAAAAAAATTTTCTCCATGTTAACTAGATGCATTACTTAGGTGAGAATAGTTGACTACTAAATGTTTTCATTACTTTTAAAATCCAAAGTGCTAATGACAGAGTTATTTGAATTGAAGAATCTGATCCAGAATTTTAGATTCAGAGAGCTCTATTTGTAACTTTTTTTTTACAGCTATTTTACTTTCGGAGCTGATCTGCCATAAGATCTCATGGCAGAGATTTTTGATCTTTGACCTTTCCCATTTGACACATTGGTTTGTATTTCACCAAAGTAAATGGAGTGTTTTTAAAACGGTCTTTGAAAAAATATGTTTAGCTTCTTAGAGTTTTGCAGAACTTCTAGTCTAAATTACGGGTTATGTGCTTAGGTTGAATGTTCAAAGGCAAGCTAGACCTCAATCTTCTTTTCTTGGGCTGGGGAGGTAGCTCAAGTAGAATAAGTGCTTGCCTAGCAAGTGTAGGATCCTGAGTTCAATCCCTGGTACCACGAAAAATAAAAATAAAAAAATAAAAATTTTCTTTTCTTCTCCCCCTCCTGCCCCAGTTTTTTGGTGCGAGGGATGGAACCTAGGCCCTTGCATATACTAAGTCTCACTTTATTTTGTTTATATATTTTTGTGTGTGTGGTGTTGGAGATTAAAGCAAGGGCCTCATGCTTATAGGCAAGCACTTTTTATCACTGAACTACATCCATAGCCCATCCTACCCTAAGCTTCATTTTTTTTTTCAAAGTTTTACTGATAAACATATAGCAATGAGACAGTTTCAAATCAAATCGAGAGTACAGTTTCAACAAAAAAAGGGCAGAAGTGTTTTTTTTTTTTTTTGGCTCCGAATGCCTTCAAGGCATGACTGGCTGTCTTGTGTTGTGGGGATCGAACCACAGCAACCTGAGCCTGACTGCTTTGTTGAAGCAGCCAGTTAAAGAACTGAGCTAAGGGGCAGGCCCCCTCTAAGCTGATGCAGGAGGATTGCTGCAAATTTGAGGCCAGTCTGGGATACAAAGTGAGTTAAAGACCAACATAGTGAGACCCGGCCTCAAAAAGACCAAAAAAAAAAAAGATATGGTACATGAGATTTATAGTAATTTTAAAAATTGCACCTTTTTAAAATGAATATTCATAAGGTAGCTCAATTTATACTTTTTCTACTTTATAGTGATGCAAAAGCCATATATGCAATCAGAAATTTTGCATTTTGCTTTTTTTCTCAGTTAGTATACACTCTGTCCAGTCCTGGAAGCCAGGAACATAATCTGTTTTCAAACAGGGCCTTGCTTTGTAATTGGCCTTGAACTCATGACAGTCCTCTTGCCTCAGCTTCCTAAATGTGGGGATTAAAGGTGTACATCATCATGCCAAGATGGATTATTATTATTTTTTTTTTTTTGGCGGAACCGGGGATTGAACTCAGGTTCTTGCGCTTGCCAGGGAAGCGCTTATTCTACTGTTGCCATCTCCCCAGTCCCAGGAACATAATCTGAAAGATAGATAATACAGTGTACTGCATTGTTAAGGTACAGTATTTGCAAGGTTAGGGGTATCATACATTTTCAATTTGCACTATTTTCAATTTACAAAGAAGGGTTTACTAGAATATACCCTCACTGTAAGTTGAGGAACATCTGTACTACTTATGTTCCCCCCATCTACATATTTATAACTTAAGCACTTTAAATTTGTGTATTTTTAAACTTTGATTTTTTTTTTTTTCTTTTGACAGTGACAGGATTTTTAAATTCACTGACACCCAAATTCTATGTGGCACTTACAGGAACATCTTCTTTGATATCAGGACTTATATTTGTAAGTAGTTTCCATTTTTTAAATCGATGTTTTGCTGCTTGTCCAAAGGTTCTATAACATTGTCACAATAATTTAAGTTCTTATGTATCAGCATTTCTAAAATGTGTTAGGCATTTGAAAAAAGAATTACCTAGCTGAACAAGTTTGGGGAACAGTACATCTCTCTATACTTTTAGAAATTGGCAGTATTTGTTGCATGTTAAAGTTTTGTACACCGCAGTCAGGAAGGGGTTAGAAACCTGAAGGTCTTTTTTTTGTGTGTGTGCGGAACCGGGGATTGAACTCAGGCCCTTGCCCTTGCCAGGGAAGCGCATATTCCACTGAGCCATCTCCCCAGCCCCCTGAATGTCCTTGATTAGTAACAAAAAGTGGATGAAAATGGAAGACTGTAAGAATAAATTCAACAATTACTTTGAGAACTGAATAATCTGGAAAGTACATACTCATATCATTGTAGAAGAGGGTCAAGCTAATTGTTGCCAGGTAAACCTATGACTAGTATTACCAGATGTTCCAATTTTTTAGATCTTTTCAAGAGAACTTGGATATAGAGCTTTTCCATAAAAATCACCCAATGTTTTAATTTTAGCAACATTGCACAGACTAAAATGCGTATGTCTGAAATTCAGTCTGCAGTTTTTCTAAGCCCATTTCTCTTCCTAATAGAAAAAAAAAGTACCATTTTGAAGAATTGAGAACTAATTAGTGTGTATAAAAGCATGTAACATGGCAGCTAGCTCAGTGAGCACTTAATTAAACTTGGCCATTACTGTTCTAAGAAATCCCACCATATGGAAATCTACTTAATCCAGCTTTTCCGTGAACAAGATGACATTTTAAAATGCTATGAACAACTTTATAATCTCCATTAGCATCCTTACCATCTAGAGGTACATTTAGAAAAAATGTTGCTACAGATAGAAATCTTTGGTATTCCATGTGTGGCCAGTGGATTTTTCTGTTCTTTTTTCTCATCTGTAGGTGGTGTTCTCCATCTTCAGTGAAAATAATAATATTTATTTGTTTTTTAAACAACTATTAATAGTGAGCATTTTGTTAATGTAAAACAAAGGGGTTTTTCTCTTAAAAAACAATTGAAGAATTCAGAATAAAAATTATGTATTTAAGGGGCTGGGGAGATGGTTCAGTAGAATAAGTGCTTCCCTGGCAAGTGCAAGGGCCTGAGTTCAATCCTCAGTTCCGCAAAAAAAAAAAAA